GGGGGGGGGTAATATGGCGTTTCATGACCATCGCTTGTAAGCAGGACCATGCTAGCATGTCACTGACACTCAACCGCTGGAATGAATTTCGAGGTAAAAAGAAACGCCCCCAAAAATAACTTCATCTGATCATCATCGGAGGAGCTGGACAAAAAAACAAAAAAAAAAAAGCTGCATCGCATGCGATCATTTATTTTCCCAATATTTTTGTTGTAACGCTGTATTTTTCTCATGCTTTTTGTTATTGTATTTTGCTATTCTGACGAACATTTTTGGCATCATATTTTGGCCAAAAGTATTTTCAAACTTTTTTTTTTTCAAATTTAGTTTTTTTGGGTAATACTTTAGTATTTTGTCAGAATATTATTGTTGTACTTTCAAATTTTTTTTTCAAATATATTTTCACATTATTTATTTATTTATTCATTTGTTTATTCATTTTTTCGAAAATGATTTTTAAAGAAATGTTTGCTAAGGTATGTAAAAAGTTTTTTGGGGGTGGCGATTAAAAGAGTCTGTAACTCTCCCCCCTCCCTTTTTCAAGAGAAAAAAAATGGCCCCCAAATTCCAGCAGACCGTCCGTCCCAACTGAATTGGATTGCTTGACATTCTGGATCCGCGTTTATCCAGAACTTCATGAAAATGAGAGGACTTCTTTATGATCAGAGAATCAAAACTTCCTTGGAGGAGTTTGTAAGAACAAGAAGGGTTTTTGGCGGGATTAGTGTTATGTGTTTATTTTCAACACTTTGACAATTAAAAAAAAAAAAAAAAAAAGAAATTTTGCTTGTTGTTCAGCGGAATATTTTTTTTTTGTTAACGTTAACCTATTTTGTGGCAATTTTTTTCTAATTTTGCATGAATCCGACTGAGGTTTTTCTTTTTTTTGCCTCGGCAGTTGCGCTGCACTCACCAGATTGTCCTGGCACTTCATTCGCCAGCCCGCACGAACCGCCGCGGAGTTGCGGTCTAAATCAACATTTGCGGCGAGCTGCGCCTCATTGTTTTGACAAAAACACACACAAGCGACGATGTTTTATTCATCAAGTCGACTCACTTAAGCAAAACAAAAAGTCATGAGAGCAATCGCTGGTGGCAGTCGCGCGTGACAAAATTTGGGCTGCGTGGTCACCAAACCGCCGGAAATTTAAGAAGCCGCCGTGTAGAATCATGTCTTTAAAAATAATCATAAAAATGGGAGATTGATTCAGAGAAGTCGAATGTTTGGATTCATTTTTCATCCCACAAAAAAAAAAAAGTTTTTTTGGGAAGGGTGGCGGGGTGGGGGGTTTCTCTGCGAAAGTCATTTTTATCAACAAAAAATTATATATTTTGTTGTATACATAAAACAGAATTTTCTTTGTTGTAAATTTTTTTTTTTTACACAGAATAGTATTTTGCAAAAAAAAAAAAAGCCTTTTGTACAAGATTTTTTTTCAGCGGGTAGCGGGTTTTGGGTAGTCATCATTAGGTCAATTGGTCTCCAGTTATGTTTTAATAAGAAAAAAGTTTCGATCTCACACACACACGAAAAAAAAATGACGATGTATATGTTTGTGCATAAAGTCAGAACAAAAAAGAGAATTTACTTTGCAAAAAAAGAGGCTTTTTAAAAATTCAATTCCATCACAAAAACAATATTTAAACAAATAATAATTAAAAATAGTCTGAATTTAGAATTTTTTTAAAATTTTTTTAAATCAATGCAATTGTGTTGGTCATCAATTATTTGCGGATTTTTGGTATTTGTGGGCCCGTCCAGTCCCAGTCTCGTTAAATCTTGACTTCAGTATCATGTTACTGTGTCAGGACTTTAGAATGGAAAAAGACAGCAATTTGTGACAGTCGTGAAATCACTTATGTTCCCGCCGAACTATTCTTGATCATTTATCAGCGGGACTCGGAGCTCTTTCTCTCGTCATATTGCAATGAATGTCAAGATTTGGTCTTGGCTGACGAAAGGAAGGCAATTTCTCATGTTCATCTGCTTGCTTGATTACATTTCAGCTCTTGACGCAGGTGTTCAAATTACCCGATAAATGTTGCAGGTTGGACCAAATCAAAACAGCGGGGTGAAGTCGGGTGAACGGTTAGAAATTATTATTTTTTTTTGGGGGGGGGGGGTTGTTTTTTTAACATTAGCATCGAGCCCATTAGCATCGAGCACTAGCCTCATAGGGCTCTCTCTCTCTCTCTCTCTCTCTCTATCTCCCTTTCTTCTTCCCTCTGTCTGTCTGTCTGTCTCTCTCTCTCTCATCCCTAAATTCGGATGATTCACCGAGAAGCATTCGTTTGCGTTTAACTTGCAATATACAACCTAGAACAGCACATGATAACAGGTAAAGCCAATTAGTGCCGCTTCCTTTCTTCTATGAATACAATCTTTTCTAGGTCAGAGATGGTCTTAAAAAAAAAAAAAAACGCATTCCATATTTCTTGCGGTATTGTATAGCTTGGCAGCGCAGGATGATGTGATTTCAAGGTGACTGCACGGTGATATGGAAACCAACCTTTGAATGCATCAGCCTTCCCTCCCCCGTCCGTCCGGCCGTCCCTTCGTGTGTGTGTGTGTGTGTGTGTGTGTGTGTGTGTGTGTGTGTGTGTGTGTGTGTGTGTGTGTGTGTGTGTGTGTTGTCTTCAAAATAGTTGGTGCCATAATCCAATCGTGAAGACACAAACGCACCCCTCGCTGTGTTTGCACGGAATACGATGTACAACGCGTCACAAAGCAAAGGCAGCAAATTTTCCTCTCCATCGCATTCAACACGACAGTTTTATCGCTTCCCTCGCAAAATTACTGCCAGGCTCTGTTGACAAAAATTGCACCCGAGCAAATATTGAATATTTGTGACAAAGGTCGAGGGAGTCACTCATATTTTGGAAAGGCCGGTGGCAGCGGTGCAACCGTTGAGAAACGAGGTTGCCTGGCCACCAAAAGAGCCGCACTCTGATTCTTGTGCTGCCCTCCCCCCCCACCCTGCCCGAAGCAGTGATGGATCAACAGGAGTCACCACACGCGTGACCCAAACAAGTGTGCTGCTGTTATCTAGTCCGTGACCGCGTTTAAGGCAAACTAATAGCACTGTGCCGACAGCATTAATCTCCACGCGGCTGATAAAAAAATAAATAAATAAATACATCACAAAGAAGGAGAGCTCACTGCTACCATTTTGCTGCCACGTGAGCGCTTGCGTCTGTGTGTACAAGTGACAGAAGTGAAGGAAGATCCAAAATACAGCAAGTCAGCCATTTTACTTTCAAACACCAAGAAGTCCTCCAAAAGAGTTTTGTGAAAATTCAGCAAAGCACATTACATTTTGTGACTAGAAATTTGGTGGTCAAGTCCACAACGACAAGCCCTGCAAAAAAAAAAAAAACCCAAAAAGTCTCAAGAAGTGTCCGTCCAGGAATATGCAAGAAGTCAGCCTATTTACTTTGAGATCATTTCCAGAGGTTTGACAACTTTTTTGAAAATTCAGCCACCGAACTGTTTCACTTCAATAGAGCCACAAAAAAAAAAAAAACATTCAAAAAAGCAGTGCCCAAAAAGACACAGGAATTTTGCGATTTTGCATCGACGCAGCCAACTTCTATGGAGACAAAATTGTTGTTGAGTTTTGTGGAGCCGATTTCTCTTGAGAACATTAAATCTGGTAGACATGTCTTTCATGAGTAGTCCCACAAAAAAAAAAAAAAATCTCAAGACGCTAGATCGGAAATGTTGGAGGAAGTGTTGTCATCGAGGTTTGAAGTGGCCATATGAATAGATCATTTGGGTCATTGGCAGCGCTCCTCCAAAAGACGAACTCTTCCGACAAATTGTTTTTGCAAACTTAGTCCCGCAAAGCCACTGTCACTTTCATTAAAAACATTTAATTTGGTAGACAAGTTTACCATATATAGACCCAAAAAAGGTCTCAAGAACCTATGCTTGAAAAGACACGGTGGGGGGGGGGGGGTCTGCCACTGTTGCTTTAAAGTGGCCTCATCGGGTCCGTTTGGGTTTTTCTGAGTCATGTTCTCCGTGACTTTCGCCATATTTTGTGTTGACATCCCATAAAACCCGAGAATTTAATAAGTCAACCCCACAAGGTCAGATCTTGAGCAAGTCCAACAACTCGCAACAAATCTGCCAGGTTGCAGAATAGCAACAGTTGCAGGCGGGCCCACTTCAAAAACGACATGTCAAGGCAAACCAGTGAAAGGAGCGAATGGCACCAATTCAAAGGAAGGTACCAATTGATTAAAAAAAAAAAAAATTTAAAAAAAGGAGGCGGGGAAGCTGTAAAGGGAACAGATAGAAGCGAGCACACACAGGATGACTTGCTGTGACAATAAAAACTGGCGACAAGCGCACAAATCGACACACAATAGCCGTGGCGACAATCCATCCCATAAACTGCACTCACAGACACACACACACACACACACACACACACACACACACACACACACACACACACACACACACACACACACACACACACGCGGACACACACACACGAGAGTCCACTTTTTTAATCCTAACTCGGAAAAAAAAAAAAAAGACAACAACTCACCTCTTCACGGATGACGTCTTCAACACAACCAATAGTCAGTGAGTGGTGACATTCAAGTGCAAAATGAATGTAAACGGACAAAATGTCCTCCTTTCCTTTCTCTGCTATCTGGCGCAGTGGAAACTTCTGCAAGAATGAGGACACAAAAATTGGTCATTTATTGGCTCGTCTCAATAACATTGTGAGAAAAAAATGGCAGATCATTTCTTGAGAGGAAAATGTGTTTCTTTCAAGTGGCATGGCGGGTTTCATTGTGACCGCGTCTGATTTGGCGTCACTTCACCAGAAGATGGTGAATGAATAAACGCGGACCCAGAATTGACCCTTGAGGGACCCCGCACAGACACGGAGCCTTGGAGAAGGACCTTTTTGGTAGATATCAACCAATCCGTAGGAGTCCAGATTGAGCATTTTTTTTTTTTTTTTTTACTTGGAGCACAGTGGCCCCGAACATGAAATTTTAGGGATGCTAGTTGAAAAGTTAGGGGCGCGTACTGCAAATCAATTCTTAAAATAGAAAGTCACATTTCCACTCATTTTTACTATATATTTTGATGAACGGGTTGAAGAGGAGAATTATGTGAGCAAAAACAATATTGGGGGAGTTTTTTTAATTTTTGTTCATCGCATTTTGTCAAGAAAAGTCCAGTATTTTCGATTATTAATCTTTGCAGGTAAAAAAAAAGTCACAGTTTTATGATTTGTTTCGAATTCCTTGTGCATCGTCAAAAACGTTGAGCGTTTGCGGTATGCTTGCAAAGCTTGGTCAAGTTCATTCGCGGAGTCAACACGTTGCGCCGATGAGTAATTGGGCGGGAGCAATGTTAGCGCGCCCTTGGTGCCCTGGCCCCGATTAATCTGAGCAGGTAGTGTTGGCTTTAGCCCCGCCCACCTGCCAGAGGCAAGGGAATTAGTATTAGTATCGAGCATCGATTCCGCCTCGAAACACTGCCCGCGCGTTACTCACCATCTCGACGTCCTTTTATGTGTTCCTCTTCCTGCTCTTCTTTTACATCCCATTCTCCTCCTCCTCTTTTTTTTTTTTTTTTTAATTCTTTTAGCGCCATTATCCCATTATCCGTCATCAGCCGCCTCGCTCCTTCTCGTTTTACATTTCCCCTCTTTCATGGCGCTCTCCCGTTTGTCGCTCGGCACATGGTGCATTCCCCTCCATTCGCCGGGCCTTCTTTACGGCCCCGCGCAGGAAAAATAGAGAGAATAGCGGTCAAGAGAGGAGGAGGAGGACGAAGAGAAGGGCTCAATAAAACACAACGGCCCTTTGTTGTTGTGTCATTCCATTAGTCACCTGGGCGCCAGGATGGAGAGTGCCGAGACTTTGGGACTGAATCGGAACATGAGCAAAATCAAGACTCAAGTGAGAAAGAAGGAAAGGAAGAAGGAGACAAAAAAAAAAGAGAGAAAATGGCATTTTTGGTGAAAGTGATTAATCTCCCCCCAGAAAGAACTTGAAAAAACTGAAAATAAGTTCGAATTGGAGCAAAATCAAGACTCAAGTGAGAAAGAAGGAAAGAAAGACCAAGACAAAAAAAAAAAGAGAGAAAATTGCATTTTTGGTGAAAGTGATTAATCTACCCCCAGAAAGAACTTGAAAAACCTTGTTGAAGATTTTTTTTTCCTGAAAAATGTAAATATTCAAGAAAAAAAAAGTGAAAAAAACTTTCAATTCACAAATGCAGAATTCATGTTCAGATTTGATTGCAAAAATCATATTTTTGTGAAAAAAAAATCATAAGGCGTAATCTCAGCAGAGAAATGTTTTTGCAATATTATTTTAATTTTTTTTTTTACAGAATATAGTACATGTTCAAGAGAAAAAAAAGAACCAAGAAACAAAAAAAGAAGTTTTACTTTTTGAAGATTTTTTTTTTCCTGAAAAATGTAAATTTTCAAGAAAAAAAAAAGTGAAAAAAACTTTCAATTCACAAATGCAGAATTCATGTTCAGATTTGATTGCAAAAATCATATTTTTGTGAAAAAAAAATCTTAATCCTAAAGGAGGAAAGTATTCTTTTTTTTTTTCAGAAAAAAAAAGTTCATTTTGGAGTCATAATCTTGCAACCTTTTCACACCATGATTAAATTTTCAAGAAAAAAAAAAGTGAAAAAAACTTTCAATTCACAAATGCGGAATTCATGTTCAGATTTGATTGCAAAAGACCGGCATAGAAAAAAATATATTTTTGTGCAAAAAAAAAAAAAAGAAAAATCTTAATCTTAAGGAGGAAAGTATTTATCTTTTCTTTTTTTTTTAAAAAAAAGTTCATTTTGGAGTCATAATCTTGCAACCTTTTCACACCATAATTGTGAAAATATTCAAATTTTGTCTCCTTTTTTTTTTTTTTGCACAAAAATATTTTTTTTTTTATTAAGTCACGTGCAAACATGAAAGTCTTCCAAAGGAATAGCGTTCCATTTTGGACGTGTCGGGGGTCCGCGAGTTCAACTTGTGTCATCGCGCCAATTAGCGCTTGACATGTTTTGTCACGTGCGCACGATGCAGGTTAGCCGACGCGCTTCCGCTAATGAAGTTGAACGAGCATAATGACGCTTTCAATTCGATTTGAAAAGCGGCGCCATTAAAGAGCCTTTTTTCAGCTGACCTGCACGCCGCCTGCTGTGTTGCCATAGCGACGTGTGCGAATGTCGCCAATTATTACTTTTTCACAAACTCGTGTGATATAAAAACAATCATGTTCAGGTTAGCTGAGAGCAGAACAAGATCAAATTGGAAAAAAAAAAAAAAAAAAGCTGATTTCAATTATTACTTAAAAAAAAAAAATGTTCTTCTGTGCCTTCTAAATCGAAGCTAGTGGCTACATAACACTTTTCCGCAATACTGTTTAAAAAAAAAAAAAAAAAAAAAGGAAATGCCAAATGCAGCTATCAAACTTGTTAGCATGTTTTAAAACGTCAAATTCATCACTTAACATGATAGCATGAAACATAAGACATAATACCGGGAAACTTAACATGTTTTTACATGACATTTAGAGCGTTCTGTTGTGTAACATTAAAAGGAGAAAAATGAGTCAAGTTGCTTTGTTATTCTCACCGCTTTCCAAAATAGATGCAAGAAATGCTTTCTTCCCCAAATCGAACATCTTTTCGACCCAAACTGAGATTCATTCACATACGTGACCACAAACAGAAATAGGTGAACGTTTCGGCAAATAACGGAATCGCTTCAGAAGAATGTGAAGGTGTGGACGCCAAACCAGCAAAAAGCGGGGAAACAGGATACGTGGGAATGAGCGAGAATAAAAAGGCACTTTGGCCCGACCCGGGCGGGTGCGCCTGATGAGCGGCTCCACCTGCGCACTTATGCTGCAATTAACTCGGAAAACAGCCACGGCCGACTTGAGTTTACAACACAAAATTGCGCGGTGTAGAAAGCCAAATCACCATGCGAGAGGGTCTCGGCTGGAGTGTGTTTCAGGAGGGCTGGGGTGGGGGTGTTCCATCAGTTCCAGTGCTTGCATCCGGAAAAGTACTTGCGCTGCTTTGAAATTTTTTTTTTTTTTTTTTATTCCCGGGGACCGATGGCGGCACAGCGGCAATTACTGGACCATCATTGCACTGTCAGGCGGGGGTCTAAGGGTGCTCTTAAAGCATGGCGTTGCACATTGGATGTTAGCATTTAGCTCGTGGCCTGTAGCTCACGTTGAACATTTTGGTCTCTGAATATGTTTAAGTGGGATTTGTCGAGTGCGCTGCTTGCACGTGCTACGGCTTCATTGTTTAAAAACAATCACATCAGCGAAATCTATCATTCGCATTGCGGCTGTGACTGTGTTTTAATGGCCGTGAGAAAATTTGTATGGGGAAAACGCTGTGTGAAACAAGCGACTGATCATATACAATAAAAATAAATACATCGAGTACACACACAATAAACATGTGAATATCCATAAATTGAAGCCAATTTTTTTGGGGTGACCGTCGACCATTTTGCGGCATCTGTGTGAAAAAGGTCCGACTCGTGATCTTGTTGAAGATCCTGTTTATTTATTTACAACATCTGATTACATGGCACTCTGACTCAATAAAGTTTACAAATAATAAATATTGCCTTCTTAAACAATGTGGTCATCGCTTTTTATTGTCGTTGTTCTCCACGTCATCACCTGAGCTTTTAACACAAAACAGCAAAGGTGAGCCCCCCCCCCCCCCCCCGTGTGCTTAGACCCGCCCCTCGAGCCCTCACCTCTGTGCTTAATTTAAATAAATAATCAAAATTCATTCCTAAAAGAAAAGTCTAACACACTTGCAAAGAACAAAGTGAAAAACCAGACGATACTTCAAAATAAAACTAAAAAGAATTCTAATGGGCTGTAGTACAATGTCTTGCCTACAAGAACCAGGAAGTCTTTCCGCCCAATGGGAGGAGGGGGGAGGAGTCGACAGAAAGACGTGTCATTGGCTGGAAGTTTTTTTTTTTTTTTTAAGTTTGAAACAACACAAAGTAAAATCACTTCCTGTTGCTAATTGTGCAAGTTTGAGTCCAGGCTCGTTTTCTTCCAACTTCTTGCCATAGTCTTTTACTTTGTAGACAGGAAATGACCCCATTGAACAATTTTGTGTAGAGGAAATGACAAAAGCAAACAAAGAACACATACACACACACACACACACACACACACACACACACACACACACACACACACACACACACACACGCGCACACACACGCACACACACGTTCATATGTAGATCTGAAACCCGACCTCTTGTACATAGCAATAAATACAGTTAGAAAATAAAGCCTTCGAATGGAGGTGGCAACTCTTTTCATTGGAATGGCAACAAAAAAAAAAAAGCCAATCGATGGTTGCTTGGTACACATTACCCAGCACGACCTACAAAATAAAAGCTCATCATGATTTTGTTTGACTTTCACTTCCTTCGCTAGTTGTGCAAGTGCCTGTTGTGTCGCATTTCCCCACTTTTGACGCCCAAGGCTTTTACTTTGTAGTCAGGAAATGACTCCATTCAAAAACTCTGGAGAGAGGGAATATGAAACATAGAACCAGAACCCGACCTCTTGAAAGTGACAATAAATAAATGTACAAAATCAAATTGGTTTTTATTGTGAAAAGCACAATGGTTTCCCGGCAGCGGCCGCGGACGTTGTTTTGTTTGACTGACTCATTTTGAATTCGGGTCTCTTATTGCATGAACTTGCCTTCCACTTCCTGTTTGTGTTGCGCAACATTCTTGGTCAGTCCTTTGCGTCCGTCCTTCATCGATCGCGTTTTCATTCGGAAAGCATCACAGGCGAGCTGCCTTCATGGGTACACCCAGACCCACATGCCTGGTTCCTGCTGGGCACCAGAACCCCTTTGCACCCCCCCCCCAAACCCCCCTACAAATAGTCATCTCACTGACCACAATGGGACCCCTCGTCCCTCCCATCCGACAACAGACATTGTCACCAATTGTCTCGTGGCCTTTCCATGTCGCTCCTGATTTCCGAC